AGAGAGAGAGAGAGAGAGAGAGAGAGAGAGAGAGAGAGAGAGAGAGAGAGAGAGTGAGTTTGTAGGCCAGCCATAGGTTGAAGTATCCTCCACAGTCTTGCCCACTTTAGTTTTTAAGACAGACTCTCTCACTGAGCCTGAGCTGACTCATTTCAACTAGGCTGGCTTGCCAGTTAGCTGCAGGGATCCACTTGTCTCTGCCTCTCTGGTGCCGGGAGGACACATATGTAAACCCTGCTCAGATCGTGACATAGGTCCTAAAGATCTGAACTCGGGTCCTCATGCTTGCTTGCTAAAGACTTTTATCAGTCCAACTGTATCCTTAGCCCAAAGCAAAAATCTGTTCATGGAAATATAAATTGTCCCATCTCTTCTAAAAATAATAGTATTATTAAAATGTTCATATTAGCTAGCCTTGTTAGATCTACTGATGAATGCAGTTTATTAAAGGTATGTTTTTAAGCAAAAAGCCAATCTGAGATGCATTGACAGAATCAACAGAATGTAAGAAATCAACATACAGTCATAGATTGTTAACAGTCATCAGGAAGTTGGTAATAATGCTTCCTCCCTGGCATGCGTATCTTGTGTTTGGCCATTGTGTATAACCCGCTTCTCAGATGCGCTGCAGACTCACTACTGTTAGGCCCTCATTAGTATTTCTGTTTATAAATTAGCAGATGGACAGTCACAGGTAGATGAAAAGTGACGATACCAATTTGCCTATCTGGGTGTGATTCCAAAGTTGCCATGTGTTCACACGGGTGTGCCTGCACATTTGACACCTCCTTCTTTACATTGACGGAATCATCATACATGATTTTGTTAAAAATATTTTCTGTATTTGACCTGGGTTTATTCTCCTCTCTCCATGTTATTTGTAGATTTGGTCTTTTCATAGTGTCCCAGATATCCTGCATGTTTTCTGCCTGGATTTTTTAAGACTTAACGTTTCTTTGAGTTATCCCTTTTTTCCTACCTTATTTTCAGCACTCAAGATTCTTCCGTGTTTTGTAGTATGTTGATGTTGAGTGGCAGGGGAGACCAACAACACACTTACCCCAGATAGAAAGCCCATGACAGACCAAAGAACAAATGCCACCAAAGTCCAACTTGATAAACCAATGTTTTATTGGGGTTCCTTGCAAGAATATGGGCAAGGGGTACTTACAGGAGCAGAAATTACTCAGATAGGTGCATCACCAAAGCACACCCCAGCACAGGAGACATCTCATAAAATCTGGGAACCTGGAACACACTACACTGCACAGCCTGCAGTCATGTCACAGGTTGGAAATTGTCCCTTCTAGTGACTCAGTTGGTCAAAACCTCTTGCAGGCAAGGGGCTGCTTTCTCCTTCCAGGCATCTTCTCTGGACTCACAATTTTCTTTGCAACTTGGTTTCTTTACTTGAGCATGGAGCTATTTGTTTACTTTTCGGCTCAAGAGGTTTTTCTGTAGGGCATTTCAATCTTGGAAGAAACCATTACACATTAATTTGGTAGACCTTACCTCTGTGGTAAGTTTTGTTTGACTCTCTAAATTTTTTATTTAGTTTTATTTCAGTTTAATCACTTTAGTGATTAAGTCTCTTGAGGGTTAGGCACATCTTCTCTCATTGAGGCCAGACAGGCAGTTCTCTGCTGTACGTGTGTTGGGGGCCTCTGACCAGCTGGTGTATGCTGCCTGGTTGGTGGCTCAGTGACTGAGAGATCTCAGGAGTCCTGGTTAGTTCGACCGCTGGTCTTTTTATGGGGTTACCTTCCTCCTCAGCTTCTTCCCAATTTAACCACAGGGATCCCCAACTTCAGTCCAATGGTTGAGTGTAAGTATCTGCTTCTGTCTCAGTCAGCTGCTTTTTGAACCTCTCAGAGGACAGCCATGCTAGGCTCCTGTCTGTAAGCACACCATAGCATCAGTAATAGTATCAGGCCTTAGAACCTCCCCTTGAGCTGGATCCCAAGTTGGGCCAGTCACTGAACCTCCTTTCCCTCAGTCTCTTCTCCATTTTTGTCCCTGCAGTTCTTTTAGACAGGAACAGTTCTGGGTTTTTGACTATGGGATGGCAACCCCATCTCTCCACTTGATGCCCTGTCTTTCTACAAGTTCCCTCTCCCCACTGTTGAGCATTTCCTCTAAGGTTCCTCCCTTTGAGTCTTGGGGGTCTCTCACCTCCCAGGACTCTGGTACTTTCTAGAGGGTCCCCCCACCTTCCACCCCTAGACGTTGGCAGTTTCCATTCTGCTGGCCCTCAGGCTTTACTTCTGTGCCCCCCTCTCCCCCCATCATGTTCCCCTTTTCCTCTTCCCTTCTCCCACCTAGAACCCTCCCTCCCTCTGCCCCTCATGATTGCTTTCTTCTCCCTCCCAAGTGAGATTGAGGAATCTTCACTTGGACCCCTTTGGCTTGTTAACCTTCTTGAGTTCTGTGGAATGTATCCTTCCATACATTTTTTGTCTAATATCCACTTATTAGTGAGTACATACCATGCATGTCCTATTAGGTCTGAGTTACCTCACTCAGGATGATATTTTCTAGTTTTATCCCATTTGCTTGCATGATGTCCTGGTTCTTAATAGCTGAGTAGTATTCCATTGTATAAATGAAACACATTTTCTGTATCCATTCTTCCATTGTGGAACATCTGGGTTGTTTCTAGCTTCTGGCTATCAAAATAAGGCCTCTGTGAACATACTGGAACATATGCCCCTGTGACATGGTGGAACATGGTATAGCTGGGTCGTCAGGTAGATCTATTTCCAGTTCTCTGAGGAACCTCCAGATTGATTTCTAGAGTGGTTGTACCAGTTTTTAATCCCACTAGCAATGGAGGAGTATTCCTCTTTCTCCACATCCTCACCAGCATGTGCTGTCATCTTAGTTTTTGATCTCAGCCGTTCTGATTGGCATAAGGTGGAATGGAATCTCAGTGTTGTTTTAATTTGCATTTCCCTTATGACTAAGGACTTTAAACATTTCTTTACGTGCTTCTCGGCCATTCTTCACAGACATGGAAAGAGCAGTTCTCACTTTTACATGGAAAAACAAAAAACCCACAATAGTGAAAACAGTTCTTAACAATGAAAGAACTTCTTGGGGGAGTTACCATCCCTGACCTCAAGCTGTACTACAGAGCAATAGTGATAAAAACTGCATGGTATTGGTACAGAGACAGACAGGTAGATCAATGGGATAGAATTGAAGATCCAGAAATAAAACTACACAGTTATGAACATTTGATCTTTGACAAATAAGCCAAAAATATACAATGGAAAAAAGAAAGCATCTTCAATAAATGGTGCTGGTCTAACTAGCAGTATGTATGTAGAAAAATAAAAATAGATCCAAATTCATATCATTTTTAAAGTCATTTGCAATTGCTATTTTGAAGTGTCTTGTGCGTCAGTTGTATTGCATTTCTTGGGGCCTACTGTGGTAGGGTTATTGGATTCTGGTAGAGGCATGTTTTCTTGGCTGTTCATGTTTATATTTTTGTGTGGGGTGTAGGCATTTGGAGTTGAGTGTTTGAGGTGTTTCTTGGTGTCGTGATCTGTTCTTGTCTTTGTTGGCTAAGGGTGCTGCTCTTTGGCTGCAGTTGCTCTCTCTGCATCCTGAGCTTTGTACTCTGAGGGAGATTTCCTTATATGGAAGAGTTAAGAGTTTTAGGTTCATTCCCTGTCGTCTGATTAAGTTGTAAATTTACAGGACTGATATCCTGGGGTTACTGTCTCTGCCCTGAGTCTCATCTGTGTAATTCAGTTAGGCTTCTTGTCCTGTAGTATAAAGGGTTTCGCTTCCTTGTAGGGCCTGGAGGTTTTGCGTGCTGTTTACAAGCAGATCACCATTGTTTGTATCTCAGTTCCTATCTGTAGGAAAAGGTTTCCTTTCTCACTGAAGGAAAAGGTTCAATGTCACATTGAATGAGACAGTGCCTTGGAGGTCAGCATTTGCTTTACTCCTCCTTTCCAGCAGCTGCCCTCAGGCCTTTACAGCTAAGGACGACATCCTCACCAAGTGCTTCATGATCTTCTCTTAGAGCAAAGATCCACCTTTCATGACTTTCCCTAAAACAGCCCCACTGCTCCTTAAGAAAGCTTTACCCATCCAAACTTGAGAAACTGAACAGTCAGGTACAAAGTAAAATACTACCCTGGAGCTCTCCCTAAGCCTCGTTTCTGCACACAGGGATGGTGGTGTAGAAGGAGCAAGGTATGTATGTATATGCATTGCAGCTCTGTTGTGCTGGCCTTCTGTTCCCTTACCATCACTGCTCTTCCTACTTAACAATTAAAAGGCAAATCTCACTGTAATAAAGGGGGGACAGGAGGAACAGAATAATAATGTAGGGGAAATCTTAGCTCACCAGAGGAACTATGCAAAGTCATCAAGACACTTTGATGAACTACATTAATGAAAAAAGTTAATTAATGAACTGAGTTAATGAAAGAAAAGCTAAGGTGAATGATTCTGTGCTTTTGATGTTTTAGGCTGGACCAGATGATATCAGAAACTTCGACGCTGTCTTCACTGAAGAAACAGTTCCCTATTCTGTGTGTGTGTCTTCTGACTATTCTATAGTGAATGCCAGTGTTCTGGAGGCAGATGATGCATTTGTTGGTTTTTCTTACGCCCCTCCTTCAGAAGACTTATTTTTGTGAACACTTTTGACATTCAGAAACCAATGAGCAACGTCTAGCCTTCAGAAGAGATGGAAACATCTATTTGTGTGAAGATAGTCAACTATGTATAACAGTGCCTCATTTTTATATGTAATAGTGAAAACTATGAAATATGTATTTTCTGCTGTATGCAAGAAATAGGGCATTTCAAAGAGTTAAGTTTTGAACTGAAATTTGTATTCTTGTTTATTAAGCTTATTTTTGAACAAAAATTTGAAGCTATTATTCTTAGCATTAACCTATTTTTAAAGATAACTTTTTGCTATTGACTGTTGTTTTTTTTCCTGTTAAGTTTACACTAACATATCCAAGATAGACTGTTTTAATAGTGTGTTACAGTTAAGATAAGATGTATTAATATCTTTATAATTCTATGACTTTTTATCATAGCAGAACTATGCAAATGGTACATGATGGTTTATGATGAAACCCTATCTTCCATGAGAATTCACTGTTTGCTTCTTAGTAGGATTCAGATGCAAAGGAGAGGAAGCACACTGGCTGCTAGTGGACAGTAGCAGCTACTCGCCTGCAGCCCCATAAGAAAAAGCAAAAAGCAATCATTGGCTTTGGAAATACCCAGTTCCCATCCATGCATCATTTTTCCTCTTAGAGGAAAAGAAAATATTTAATAGCCAGAAATTTTTAGAATTCTCAACGAACTGAGAAGTAATAAAATGCTACCAGATATTTTTTAGGAGGTGCCAAACATAAATGTCTCTGTCACATATTTATATTACAGATGTTTTCTATTCATGTTCCTTTGACCCTTTGAAGGTTTAGTGTACTGTTGAGTAGGCCTAAACCTTGGTGTCTGTTTTTGCAAATAGCTATTTCAAAACTGCCTTCCTAATTGATCATGTTTTTAAAATGACAAAAAGAAGTAGCCTTCTATAATGTTTACCTAGTTGTGAATTATTTAATAAAATAGCAAGTTCTGGGTCAGTGTGAATGTGTGTCACCTACACATTCTAACAGATGGTAACAGTAATTTAGCAGTAATGTATTCAGTATTACTCATTTTGTAGTGCCAGGGATCAGACATACAAAAGGCCTCATGAATGCTAATAAGAGTATTCCCTATCTCTGAAGTACACACATGCCTCTTGGTAGCATTGTGTGTCTTTGAAATAGTTCAGAAAACTGACTGTACAATCACAACATGTCAGTTAACATCTATATTCATTTGGTAAAATGTTAGGTACAGAGAAGCTATTTTTAAAGGGTGCTTCTTGGGACTCCAGTTCTGGAGGACAGTTTCCCAGGTCCTTTAGAGAGCACTGTCATGAGCTTAGCCACGCTAAGAACAAACTTCCCTTGCATGTGTTACCTTGACAAATGAGAAATATTTCTTGTCCATACCCTTCGGTTAAACATGTTCAGCAGAATGAGGATAGACGATGCTTCTGTGTGACAGGTAGTCTTTGTACGCATGTAGTGCACTGGACCTCCCTCACAGGTGAGATGTTATGCCTACACTGTACATAATTTGATCCGGGGTACTTACGTCAGCTCTACTTTAATATAGAGTTATTTGTTGATTATAAATCAAGACAAAAATTGTACATATATGATTTTTTATTCTAATATCCCTTAATTAAATTGCCAAAAATTAAAGTGCAATGTTGTATTTTTAAGAACAAATTTTAAATTTTTGATGTTTCTTGAGTAGTATAATAAAATTAGCAAAAGATTAATGATCAATATCTAATTTCTGTTGTTATTTTAAATTAAAATTAGTATTGGTTATAGTAGTAACTACTAAAATGAGTTATTTTTGTGTGAGAAAAAGGTATACATTTTGTCAAAATATTAGGGTAGAATGAATTACCAAGCTATTGTATACTGACATATATATGGATCAGGGAACAAAATTCTAATTTTCAACTTTAACTTTTCTCCCATACTATACGTCTTTTATTAAATATATGCCTTTTGAACAATACAACTATTTCATGATAACTACCAAAATAATCTCAAAGGTTATTTGAGAGGTTAGTTCTTTGCCTGTTTGTTTCAGTTTTAGAGAGATACCTCAGGGTAGCCCAGCCTGGCCTTAAACTCATGATCCTCTCACCTTAGCCTCCCCAAACTAGAATTATGGCTTGTTTTGTTTTAAATATATTTATGTATTCACCATAGCTCCCTTCAGACAGACCAGAAGAGGGTACTGGATCCCATTACAGATGGTTGTGAGCCACCATGTGATTCCTGGGAATTGAACTCAGGACCTCTAGAAGAGCAGTCAGTACTCTTAACCACTAAGCCATCTCTACAGCCCCAAATTATGCTTGTTAATGACAACTTGTAGTAGTGTTTTAGCCATTGACCACTAAAGGTCATTGTTACTAGCTTTCTTTGTTACAGACCATTCTCCTTGGGGGAGTAAAGATTTGTTTTCCGGAAAAGCCTCTTCTTTGTAGTTGGAGTCTCCCTGCTGGAGTCTGGTGAAGTAGAAGAGGCTTTTAGTTTCCCCAGGGGAAATCTTTGCTTCCCCAAAATCCCACCTCGAGTATTCTCACCTAGGGCTTAGATGGCACACATGAGTTCTGTGGGAACATGAACATTGAAAGTAATATGAAACCATATTATGGGTTTTCAGTGGTCTGAGTATTTTGAAATAAGAAGTCATGTTTGTGTATTAGAGAAGTTAACAGCAAAATGAGGAGTAACACCCAGAATGTTGGGACAGGGCCTAGAGAGATGGATCCAAAGTTAAGAGTACTTGCTGTTCATGCAGAGGACCTGAGTGCAGTTCCCAGTAGCCACCTGGTGGCACACACTAGCCTTTGGGTCCAGTTCTAGGGACTCCAACCACTATATGGTCTCCTCAGGCACACGGCATGCACGTGGTGTACATACATGCAGACACATACACGCACACACAAAAGGAAAATAAGCGAATGTTTTCAAGTATTTGGGTTCTTACTTTTCTTCTTTCCTTCCTTTTTTTTTTTTTTTTTTTTTTTTTTTTGATTTTTCGATACAGAGTTTCTCTGTGTAGCTCTGCCTGTCCTGGAACTCACTCTGTAGACCAGGCTGGCCTCGAACTCAGAAATCCACCTGCCTCTTCCTCCCAAGTGCTGGGATTAAAGGCGTGCGCCACCACCGCCCGGCCTTTGCTACTTTTCATATATATTAAATTGATACTAGGAAAAATTGTCCTCAACTTCACTGATAGAATTCCATTTAGAGATCTGTTACGTTTATTTCACATTTTTAGTATAATGGCAAATTGTGTTGCTATTCATTTACAATCTTTTAAACACATCTTAGTGGATGGACAAACCTACATACAAATCATCTTTTGGGATGGGCCAGATGGCTCACCAGGTAAGGACACTTGCCACCAGTGCTGAGCCCCACACAGTAGGAGAGAGCCAGCGTCCATAAAGTGTCCTCATACCGTGGGCATGCTCGTACACAAATGCAATTTTTGGAAACATTTTTTTGGTTCTTAAGTGTTCAGTTAGAAAAAATGCTGTGCTGTGTTCAAATAATTTTTGAAAATTTAACTAAAGTTGCAACTGTAGAGAATAAATTATTACTACACAAACCATTCTATAACAGATAAGTGGTCAAAGAATCTTGAACGTAAAAGGTAGTTTTTACATATGTTTGGCTACAAGAAAAAATGTTAACCCTGTTCACTGGAAGAACCAGACACTTGATTTTATAAATCCTGTATTCAAAAGTAACATCTAAATTTTTATCATAAATTCTCCTTTGCAGGAATATATTTCATGAGTTCATTGTTTCTCACACCTACTATACTTTGAGCAATTAATAATACGATCACCTCACCATACCTCCCCACTCCCTGGGGCCTCCAGTCTTTTGAGGGTTAGGTGCATCTTCTCTGAACAAAGACCCAGCAGTCCTTTGCTGTATATGTGTTAGGGGCCTCATAGCAGCTAGTGTATGCTCCCTGGTTGGTCGTCCACTGAGAGATCTTGGAGGTCCAGGTTAATTGAGACTGCTGGTGTTCCTAAAAGATCGCCCTCTTCAGCTTCTTCCAGCTTTTCCCTAATTCAACCACAGGGGTCAACAGCTTCTGTTATGTTTTAATAATTAACTCATGGGGGGGCTGGAGAGATGGCTCAGTGGTTAAGAGCACTGACTGCTCTTCCAGAGGTCCTGAGTTCAAATCCCAGCAACCACATGGTGGCTCACAACCATCTGTAATGAGATTTGATGCCCTCTTCTGGTGTGTCTGAAGACAGCGACAGTGTACTCATAAATAAAATAAATAAATCTTTAAAAAAAAAAAAATAATTAACTCATGGGATGTAGAAGGCCAAGTTACAGTACTGTCACACCACACAAATGGCTAGCTTCACTAGACTTTTTCAGTTCTTTTCGATAGTAAATACAGCCTTGCTGTGTTCATTTTTCTCTGTGATCCAGTGGTTGCCATGAATCATTCAAAAAGGCTTATAGGCTATCAAGATGGTTTACCAGTCATGTTTGCCACCAAGACTGATGAGCTGAGTTTAATACCCAGGACCTCCACAGTGAAAGGAAAGAGAAATGACACCTGCAGGTTGTTCTGTGACGTCCATATGTCACAGCATTGCTCAGTGGTAGACTGCTTGCTTAGTATATCTGAGGCTCTGGGTTCAATTCCCAGTATATATATATATGTATACACACATTCACACATTAGTTACTTTGATGTTGATCACTAGCACTTAAAGATTTTTGTATGTGTGTACATATTTACAACATGTATGCAGATGTCATCAGAGGCCAGAAGAGGGACTCAGGTCTCCTGAGACTAGAGGTGTAGGTGCTTGGAAACCACCTGAAATGGATGCTAGAAGCCGAACTCTGGTCCTCTGGAGGAGCAGCAAATGCTCTGAACCACTGAGCTATTTCTCTGGTCCTGGTTGTTAATCTTAATTGAGGATAATTTATCACAAGTCCAGAAGAAAAAAAATCTGAGGAGCTGGGCAGTGGTGGCGCAGGCCTTTAATCCCAGCACTTGGGAGGCAGAGACAGGTGGATTTCTGAGTTCGAGGCCAGCCTGGTCTACAGAATGAGTTCCAGGATAGCCAGGGCTACACAGAGAAACCCTGTCTTGAAAAACCAAACAGAATCTGGGATGCATTTTGATGAATGGTACAGTAGTTAGATGATGTCGATTACT